CCCTCCCTGGGCTGGCCAATCGCGGCGCGGCGCGGTCGCTATGGCGACGTGGGACGCGGCCCGGCCCGGCCATGGCCTCCTACAGGCTCGGGGTCCGCATGGGGAACTGGCTGGAGGAGGAATACGCGCAGCAGGTACCGCCATCCCCGGGCATCCCCGCCTGCCCCGCTCCAGGCTGCTCCCCCGATCTCTAAATCCACTTTAAACGCGAGATTGTGGGTGCTGGATAACATACCTGCTCCTCTCTCCTTTGCCAACAGGAACTCCTAAGGGATTTTATCCGTAAGAAGGAGCAAGGACAACTTTTAATACAGAGATTAGCAAAACTTCAAGAGAATATTTTCAAGAGGGTAATTTTTAAAGAGGGTTATGTCCACCTCCCCATGACTCCCCAGAGAGTGACATAACTTTTATTACTGTTCTGCATGCTCTAAGAATGCCACGGAATTTATATATTAAAATACTTCTGATGTTAGGTTCAGATAGCTCTATAAAATACTGTGTAAATTCTAATTTAGGTAGAGCTGTCGGTATCTTCTGACGGATTTGTTCACTTTGGAGACACCGTGTTGCTTATGAACCCAGACAAAAAATCCTCGGATTTGGAAGGCACCTCGGAGGAGACGGAGCCCGAAATGCGTGGTGATGTGACTCTGGCTGTGGACATGGAAGAAATATCCCTGTACAAGGATGAACCCCTGCAGGTCTCTCGTGGACTTAGTGCAGTCAAGAGCGTGGAGCCCATAGGTCGAAATGCTTTCTGTATTGTAAGGTCTGCTACTTTATTCTGAGTTGTGTTCAATTCTTGGTTAAGCTTCAGGTATATTGCTTTGAGAAATATGCAACAAAGTTTGCTAATATACAAATGTATATGAGCAAATTTAATTTATTTAAGAAAGAGTCTTCAGTCATGCATTAAGCTTGATTCTATGCTGTATATTACTCTGATTAATTCCAATGACCTCTAAATCAGCTTAGATGTGAAGACAAAATCAAGTTCACTGTATCATTTGGTAAACTCTGCAGCTATTTTTTGTTGCAGACAAAACATGTCCAAATATCACTACTATTAATATTCTCTCTCCTGCAAGCACAAATATGTGTCATTGCTTTCACTTTCTATGAAGTGGACATGGTTCTGTTCTAAAAAACCCAGCATATTCTCTCTCTCAAATATGTATTTAATTTGCTGCTGTTTGTTGGAGAAGAAACAGGAGAACAGGGTCTTGCTCAATAGTCAAAGGCTCTGCCTTAGGTTAAGATATTTTACCTATTTTAAAAGGTAAATAATACAAAATGTTGTCACAAAGCAGCATCTCACTGTAGACCAAAACAGACAAAAAACCTAAACCAGTAGTACAACTGATGATTTTAATGTACCTTTTTTCCTTTTTACAATTTTTACAGTGTTGATGGAAGTGCAGTGGGTGAACCACTTAGATACGGGCAAAACTTTGTTCTTGGGACAAAAGGAGGGGTCTCTGACAAACTGGTAAGGCAATAAAGCTGCTACTGGCAGTGGTAGCATACACTGATAATGTGCATTGAATCCCTCTCTAAGAACAGGCAGATAAAGCTGTACACTTGTGCAACATCTTAGTTTTACAGAACAGGTTCAGAACCATGCACAGACCAAGATAAGTAATACCTAATTTGAAAGTTTATGCTAATTGCCTGAGGTCAGGTATGCGGACCAAAGGGGCTGTTAGCCAGAATGACTGAATAAAGGAAATCTAAAAAAGGAAAGAAAAAGAAATCACAATTAGATTGTGAATCAGGAAAGAATTCTTCAAGGAGATTTTAGGTTTTTTTCACTTTGAAAAATTCACTTAAGAGTTGGACTTAATCCTCGTGGGTCCCTTCCAACTCAGAAGAGAATCTGAGATTTCTTTTCTGATGAAGATAATCCACAGTAGGAATATAAAGTCATGCACTATTCTGTCATTCTGAGGAAGTAGATTTCTATTAAATACTAACATTCTTCCCCTCTGCAAATTTAAAGCAAATAAGGCATTACATGTATGTATACACTCAAAATAAATCACCATAGCTTTGAAAAAGTTTTTCTTTTCAACAATCACTTTGGTGAGATAAAATTATTTGGAGTGTAACTTCAATTTTAAAAGAGTATTCACAAATCTGCATATAGAATCTATCCTATGGGTTTTGCCTGCATAGTTTTAGCTGGTAAGATTGATCTGTCAGGAGCCAAGGGAAAAGTCTTTTTGTTCAAAAATATATTTTAAAATTACATATCTTGTTTCTTTTACATTAATACTGTCCTTAATGTATATTTTTATTTACAGTTTTATCTGGCAAGTGACCACAAAACATTTAAAGATTTTGCTAAAAAATCTCGCCTTCAGAAAGTATATTTGACATCTGAGCTTTCCTATTTGACTTTCTGGCAAGCTAAATCCTTGGATCCACAACTGCGTCTTGAACATGAAGGATTTCCAGTTCCTGTAAGAAATTTAAACTGTAGGAAATGTTATGAAAATTTAACTGAAACAGGTGGACTACTAAGAAAAACAATGTTATGTTGATTTTATTCACATATTTCCCTCATTTTGGTTCTGACCTCTACTCTTAGGAAGGGGGAGAGGAAAGGAACAATCTCTTTAATTAGGGAATTTGCTTATATTAATATTTGTTTCTACTGTTCATTTTGAGGTAGACTTTGAAATTTTCAACGGTTGACATTATCATGTTGTGAGGGTGCATTACTTACCTGTTTTTCAGGCCTTTTGAGACAGTAAATTCCATTTCCAGTATTTGGAGATGTGATTAAATAAGAGGTCCTGTATGTACATTAAATGTCTAATGAAATTCTTAAGGCATCTGAATAAGTGGATGATTTTCCAAATGTTTTCAACCTTTTGTAAATACAGTATTTTCCTGTACCAGATAACTGCTAGGCTTCCTGAAGTGCTGGTGTACAACAGAGTATCACAAATACAACTGTTCCTTTACAGCCTTGAACTAAGACTCATTTACATGAATAAGCTCACTAATAAACACAGTCAAAATTCACAAATTGTTGAAGACAGTCTTTATTCACAATATTGGTTTAAAAATGTTTGTCAAGTGCCTTGAAAAAATTTGTTCTTTTCTTCCAGGCAGAAACTAAAATTATTATTACTCATTGCTACACCAATCGCAACTTAGCCGTTCCAAGGACCTTCTGTGTGTGGTAAGAATAACTTAAACTGGCAGGGGCGTGCACAGAGATGTGCCAACATCAAGAATTACTGTGAGGAGCAAGAGAAGTACTTTAGGAATGCACTGAAGAAATGAAAAATAATGCAGAATGCCATTCTCCTTTCCCTTGTTTTACTTCTTGGCTGTGACATGTGCTGCTGTGTTGCTGCAGGCAGTTGGATCAGATTTAGTTGTTTGGATTTTTTTTTTTTTCAGGAACAAGGGAACTAAATAAAACCACATTGCATAGAACTCTATATGCTTATGTCCATCTCAATCAATGTCTCAACAAATTGAAGTTAATCCCTCAATTCAGTTAATATACATACATTAAATTAATATTGATTAGGCCTTGCTAAGTAGTATACCAATGTTTTCCATTAACTTCTTAGCAAGATTTGACTGAGGATTTGTGTAAGGTTTTTGAGGATGAAAGTCTGAAAGTTTGAGGCTGAAGAAGTTATTAAGTAGCCAGAATCCTCCTCAGTCAGAGAGAAGTGGGAATGAGGGCCTATGAGTTGGTGTATCAGTGCCTTATTCTGCTGGGGCATTTGTAGCTCTGAAGCTAGAAAGGTGGCATTTAGTTTGAATTTCAAATTCCTATATTATTCATAGGAAAAAAAGTGGGTTATTGTGTTTGTTGTAAGGGTCTGGTATTTGAAAGGGCATGGTGGTATTTCTAAGTAAACCAAGAGAAAAATGAGAAAATCTCAAACAATTCACAAGTAATGAAGATTTGCTGAATTTGTATTTATGTTAATTGTCCCTGTCTATCCTATCTCTTTTGATTTGCAGGTCTCATTTTGGAAGAGAATTTGAAGTTATTTGTCACAATTATCTCGACTCCCACAGAGTTGAAGACGATAAGAATTACTGGGAGATAATAACAGGAAATCCTAGTCCTGAAGATGGTACAATGTTTGACAGACCCCAAGCTTTTCCAGAAGGGTATAAGAAGAATGAGTTTCATGAAAAGACAGAGAATGTGAAAGCCCAAGACTACAGCCAGGAGAGGTTGATGAGATTCTAATTCTTGTTTCTTTCTGTTTAGATTTCAAAGATGTTTATTTTAAAATAGAAACTAAAGTCTGCCATTAGTAATATTGCATAATCTCATTAACTCATCAAGGTTATAATGGGCAAAAACTCTTAATGTTTGAGGAACAACACATTGAAAATTGTTAATCAGGACAGGCTCCTTTACCTGTTTTCACCTTCACTGATGACAAAAGTTGTCGGCACCCAGGAAACCTAACAGATTTTCATTAAATTACTGGCACTTGGAGTATATTTAACCAATTCTTCCACAGCCAAACCAGTGTCACAATTTTTAAAAGGGTGAGTGGACAGTTTCCAAAACACTGAAAACCAAACACACGCAAAGTTATCATGAGATGCTTTGACATTTAAATTTCAGCTGAAAGAAAGTTGGTTCCACCCACCATCTAGCACAACGTTGCCAATTATTAAATCACAAGTGGGATTCTTTTATCTTGAAATTAGCTTCTAATTCATGGATATAAATGGAGTTTTTTATGTTTTTCCATGTATTCTAAACACTTTAATATCAGGTAATCAAGAACTTGAGCACAGTGATACAGACTAGAGACTTACAACAGCCTTTTCCATGCACCAGCTGCAAGTTTATCCAGTAAGAAAAAGATTGTAGTCTATATTCCTACCTAGACATCAGAGTAGCCACATGAAAAGAAAAAATAAGGCCTTTGAAACTCACATTTTCTTAAAAACAAAATCAACCAAATATAAAATGCAAAGACTTGGAAAACAGATATCATTACTGCAGATTTACCTGTCTTTATGTAGAAGCTGAAAAAACATCTCAGAGAATCTTCTACTGTATGGCATTCCATGATACCCATTTAGTTAAATATATATTTATTTCATGTCCTACTGTACCACAGGAGCAGGTTCTTTCTGTACAATGTGACTACCCAAGTAAAATACAACACTGATCTCCATTCATAAAAGATTCCAGAGATCTTCAGGGATTATAAAGGTCAATTAAAACTTTCTAAGTTTTCCAAAACAAACCCACTAAACTTCCACAAAAGAAGGGGTTGGTCCAAACATGTCTTTAAGCTCTATTCCCAAATAATCTGAAGCCCACAGGCAAGGCTTATGAAGTTTTACCTTTATGCAATATAAATGAAGTCAGCAGACTGCAGCATCAACTGGCATTTGGCATACAGGGTGTCTGAGCAGCAGGCAGATCATGCTGCTGTGACAAGCAAATTTGCTTTGAGGGACTACAGAGGACAGCTTTAGAATCACACTCCTTTTGTGCAAACCTTTACAGACTAATTAGAGATGGGCTGTCATAGAGGAAATTATCTTTAGGGATTTTTTTCACTTTTTCCTTTTATTTTCTATGTAAGGATAATTAACATGATATGCAAAGTTTTTCTAGAGGGTCTGTCAATAGTCCAATATTCAGAGGTTAAAATTTGCACATTTTCACAATGGATTGACATAAATCTGCTTCTATTTTTTTAGATATTAAAGTTTAGTGGATAAAGTTTTGTAGATACTTCAGGTTAGTAAGACTTAAACTTCATGAATGCACTGTAGTTTTTCTTACTTGGCCATTGTGGACTTTTACTGGTATTAAATGCAGCTATTTTGACTCTAAGTCTCTTAACTCTGGGTCAAATGTAGGAAACAAGAAGAAGCCTTAAACCAAAACCATTTCTGAAGCAAAGCTTCGTGTGAACTCATGCAGGAATGAGGACTGTGTGGGAGGGTGCCTGGGCTGGCCAATGTTTTGGGTAGGAGAGTTTGTGTATGTGTTAGAGTGGATAGAAAGCAATGCACGCTGTACAAAAACAAATTTTGCAAAGACTTAGAGGAAAAACAAAGAGATAAACAGGAATGAGTACAAAAGCAGGTCATGCTGGAATTGAGTGCCAATTAAAAGTAGCTTGGAGACTTGTGTGCTTTGATCACTTTGTGCTCACTGGAAAGGATTTCTGGAGCTGCAAATCAACAGGATTGAATCAATATTCCTGATTCCATTAGCAGCGTTGAACCCACAGATTTGTGCAGAGCTCTTATATAATATGTATTTATAATTCGTCTAATTCACGATAACAAATACAGATACCCAATAACAAATACCTGTTCCCAATTTTTTCTAAAGCTATTTTTTGCACTTCCTAATGTCCACACGATGGCAGCACATGTTTCTAAACAGCACAATTCCTGTGAGATGTTTAAATCCAAATGGGTCCCTGATACAATGTCACAGAAGGAAACCAAGTTTAAGCAGACTTGAATTCTAGGCTAGAATTAATGTTACATCATGTTTTTGGAAAATGAAGTTAAGCACAAAAGTAGACAGAGCAACTCAGGACACTGTGTATTGCATACAATCAACTTTTTTATATTAAGAATAATATAGAACATTAAGTAATTTGTAATCAAAGCATAATTATAGGAAATTATGAGCTTTTTCTTTCAGTTTCTATGTAAAGATATGAAACTTGACAAGCAGTGCATATTTTTATATGGGTACTATTATTGCTTTTGCCAGTTTACAGAAATTTAAATTATGCCCATTTCCACAAAAGATTGACATAATTCTGCCTTGATTCTGTAGGTATTAAACTAGGGAAAAAAAAATCAGGCTGTGTAGAGTGCACTGTAGGGTTTGTAATTTATCCATTTGTTGATAAACATGGGATTTAATATAAAGAATTATAGGATTGAATATTATGAATATATTATGAGAATATGAACAATCCTGCTACTGCCAGTTAGAGTCACAATATTTCTGGTGGATAAGGCAGTGGAGACCTGAACCACACCTCAGACCTGACCATTGTGTTGCTTTTTTTTTTGTCTGAATTCTGTGTATCATGAAATATGGGCAGTGATGCTTCCCTCCTTTGCAATGCACTTTCCTTTCTGTTGGTGTATGGCACAGTCCTGTATTAAAAAATCTTTCAGTGCTTCTTCCAAATTTGACCCAATATGGATAGTTCCACAAAGTACATTGTGGGAAGATAAAACTCACTTTGCCTCCATTCCAGACAGCTCAAAAGCTGTTACCATGAAGCTGATCCTGAGCTCTCAGTCCTTGCTGAGGGACAGGGTACATTGTCCAGATATAGTGCTGTGTTACAATAGCTTTTCATAGGCCTGAGGCACAGAGAGTGCTCATATCTGCATGTTTTGCTGTGCAGTTGTGTGTTAGCAGCACAATATTGAAGTACAGAAGAGAATTCAGAGTCAACAAAGAAAAGCTGATGGGTTAACTCACACTTTGGTAACACTGGAAAATGAAAATCCAGTTTAAATATGCCTTTTCACTTCCCTCTCTATTGCATTATCCCCCAACTCATATTTCACATCATGTGACTTCTCTGTGTTGTCTAGCCCAAACTTTGATTTACTGTGGTTATAAAGTGCTCTTCTAGCACTCAGCACAGGCTCTTGGCCTCACACCTAATCACATCAGTATCTTCAGAGATGCTTTTCTGTTTAGTGATTATCACAAAGTATTGTTTTAGCTTGGACAGCTGATAGAGGAGGAAGCCATATGCAGGTTTAGTAACTGGATGAAACATCTGAGGGGGGAAAAAAGACACAGAGAGCATTACAATAAAATTTCACACATCAGTGGAAGAAAATATCCAAGCACTGGAAAATTTGATGGAGTTGGCAGGTAAGAGGGTGATTTTGATAACATCTGTGCCCACTCACCCTAAATTAATATTGCATGTCTGTTGTAATTTGAGTGGGGTGGGTGTGAAATGATCTTTTAAAACCATAGCTGTTGTTTTAGAAGCACTTAAGACTTCAATGTATGAAAATTAAACTAAGGAGGCCACAAAATAAAAAATAAATAAAAAAATACAGATGTGATATGTAAAGTACATTAAATACAGGTGGAAACTATGAAATCTCTGTGTCAGTTTGTCAGCTACACTTCCTTTCTAATTCTGTTCTGTTTTAGGCTTTGTCCCAGGTCTTGTTTCCATTCTTTGCCTGACCTGCCTCGTTTTCTTGCCCATACACAGCACAGAGGGGCAAGCCTTGCTTTGTCAGCTCCCCTCTTCATGCTGGTGTGACTTTGTCCCGGAAGCTGTAAAAGGGAATCTAATCCTCAGCACTTGATTCTCCTGGCAAAGAGGAGTGGGAAAATCTGTCACCTTGCTGGATGTGTGCTGTTTCAGCTGGGATATGAGCAGCCATAAGAATATCAACTACAGGATTTGCATGATAAATTAGCATTACTGAAAATAAGAGGGACAACTTGGCATAAAGACACAGGGAGACCCCTCCACTTTGGGATTTTTGGGGGATGTTTTTTTGGTCAAAACTGTGTGTAGAGGGTTTGTTATGAAACAGTTGACACTTTTCTTCCTTTTTTTCCACTGCTGGGCTTGTACAAGGCAACATCTCTCACCACAGAAGAGAATCGTCAGTATGGTGCTAGAAAATATTGCTACAACTGAGGCACTTTCTCCTGAGAAGTTTCTATATTTTCTGGCAAGAAGGTCTCAAAGTACAGCAAAATAGGCACAAACATTTAAAAATGCCTGATGACATTAATTCATACACATGATTCTCTGCTCTAAGTTTATACAAGAAGCTCAGAGAGCTAATTTCCCAACATCTGTTAAATGCTGCTTCATACAATACATCAAAACAAAACTAAACAGACCATCCAGTTAGACGCCAGCTAGAATTTATGTTTCTAGAATGCTGGTCTTGTTTTAATCATAGCCTTCTTGGGGCAGGGACCATATCTTCATCTTTATTTTTTTTTTCCAAATACAAAGAAATACAGCAGAGAAGCTCAGTAAGTAATAGCATAAAGCTGTCATTAAAGGTGTTTTTAAGATGGCAGGAAACTGAAGTAAACCTTGTGCAAATAACCAGAGATATGGGCATATGAAATCTGCACATAAAGCAGTGCCAAGTAGCAAACTTTTAGTGTGAGATATGAAGATTCAGCTGCCCAAGTAATTCTGATGCTGGTAGGAGTTGCTAGGAGAAGATCCCACAAACCACAGTGTTGTCCCTGTGGGTCTGACAAACCCACAGAGGGGAATAAGAATTGTCCATGGTAGTATTTATTTTATGCATATATTTAGTTTTTTAATTATATGGCATGCTAGTTAAAAATACCTAACCAACTCTCAGCACAAGTCCTATTTGCAAAAGAGACGCCAGGTCTGAAAAACTAAAGAGCTGTTTCTTCAGTTTGTTCATGTTGAAATTGTCAGGAATTATGTTGAACATACCTTTGGAGATCTTAGACTAATGAAGATCTAAGAAGATGATTTTCAAAAATTCTGTTTAGATGTTCCTGAAAATATTACCTGTACAATTTATAAAGATATTAAATTCCTAAGCAAAATGAAATAAAAGAAATGCATAAGCAAAGCATTGAACTGAAGTCTGAACTACCTTTCCTTTATATTCAAATCTCTTACAACTCCTAAAATGCTAATAACTGTGGGCAATTGTTTTAGGGTCTCTAAAAGATCAAACACAGAGGTTTGTGAAATCCATGTCTGACAGAAATGTCTATCCTTCCTCACTGGTTTCCTACTGCTCTGCTTGCTTGGACTTTCTGCCTCTTCCATATCCTGAAGAAACAACTGAGCAATTGTTGGGGAAAAGTTTAAGGTTCATCAGCTTTTCCGGTCTTTTTGCTGACAATTTTGGCAGCATCAGTTTAGCCAGAACACCCAAGATGTACTCCAGTCTCAAAAATAACCAGTGAATGTAACTGTGCCATGAAAATAAACACATACACAGAGAAATATAAACGATTTGCTGCTATATACACATACACACTCTGGGAACTTTTATGCTAACATGGAAATCATATCCAGTTCAGCATATGCAGGAGAACAATCTTTTCTCATGCAGGAGAATTAACTGGTTTCTTTTGAAACTACCTGAAGTAATTAGTTCTTTCTGTGTAACCCGTAGTGGTCAGGGACATATTCAGGTCTGATAATGAGTGGGTCCATGGCATCACATGGTGATCCAAAGGAACACTCCAGCTATACCTAGTGTTTCATCATGCACCTTTCTTCTTATCTGTCTTTCTTCATTCTCCTTTCTGTTTTCTTCACGTGTCCTCAAATTCAGCTGACCTTGGGTTCTACTCACAGTCTTACAGAGAAACTAAAAATTTGCCTAAAGATGGCCCAGCATATTGAGCTCTGCTCTTTGTTCATTGCAAGCCAGTCAGGGTGATAATTCTCTCCAGAGCATATTGAATGGAGGACCTAGATCACTTTGTGGTCATTAATTAATAATTACAACAATAGCAAATTTTAACCTTGTTGGCATAATTTCTGTGGTAAGTTCCTAATTTATTTTACTGTCTTTTGTGAATTTGCTGCCAAAATGGCAATTGAAATTTAGTTTTAAGACTTATTGAAACACCAGCTTTGGATCAAATCAGGAATTCTGCCAGAAGTCACCACACTGTAAGAAATACTTATGACTAATAAAACATTTTTAGTTCTTGAATCAAACTAACTTACATTAATAATTTAAGCAGGTTGCTGTGGTATTAGTTGAATGCATTTTGGGAGTCCCAAGCAGGCAGAGTTGAAACCATCAGCATTCAAACTCTTGGACAGTATGGGCAATTTGAAAGGCAAGTAAAGAATGCCTCCTGCTTTGCTGCCTTGGGAGGGAAAGCCAATCAAGATGAAAGGGAAGGGCTGAGTATGAAACTGCAAATCTTAGAGTCTTAGTGCAGCTAGCTCTGGCCTGGCAAGCCCTTGAAGAGAGCAGTCAGCCATGCTAATCACCTAGACAAGCATCAGGGGATGAAATTCATGTTTATCCTTACTGTGAAGTAGAATGTCTAATAATAATTACAAATATGGGGGCTGGACTGATTTCTTACATAGATGGTGAATTGCTGTAGCTCAGGTAAGGAGCAGTAGTTAACTTTGTCTTTTGTTTTTATGGCAGCACTGGAGCTCAGTGATCATAGCAGAGGTAAAAAACAAAGAGCAGCCAAGCCAAAAATCCCCTCCGCTTGAGCTTTATATCTCATCACTGTTTCAAAGGAAGACAAACCTCTTTCCATTTCTATCACAGGTAATGGTGTTCTGCTCTGCACTTCCTCACGTGTGTATCATGCACCCACTCTTCCCTCATTTACTAGATCTGTGTATCACTACCCCTACTGGCCATAGTTCTTTCATAAAGGTAGTCAGAAGTAGATTGCAGATGTTTATTAGGTGCTAATAAGAAAAGCAAAGAAATATTACAAAGAAAAATTTTTCATTGTTCTTAACTATGTTAGCATTCCAAAGTTTTCCATAAAATATGTCTGCATATACTTGCTCTCAAATGGCACTAAATTCCAAATTAATTAAATTAATAACTTGGATTATCAGTTTATCTAGATGCAAGTTCCCCAGATCTTGTATTTTTTCTCCACATTTCTTTTTCAGAAAAAAAATTCAATTTGTTGAAAAAGAATGCATGTAGCTATCTCAATAATAATTACATGGCCCCTGTATGGCATCACATGCATGACCTTTGATATAACATAGCTTATTGTTCTTTTTGCTTGTTGAAATTTTTGGTGCTTCCAGAAGTACTTGAAATTCAAAATTGCTAATAAATATCTAACCATATATCAAGTGATTGTGCCATGTTGGGTGGTTATGGAATTTTTCCTGTAAGTGCTAACTGATTTTAAACAGTGCCACACTTGGGAACTACTGAATGGTTCCTTCTGAACACTGGGCTTTATACAGCATTCAGAAACACCAACACAAATTCCTGCTTCCTATGAAATTAGCTTAACAAGGATTTGGGGAGTAACCATTTGCACTCCACGGTTGATGTGTGCGACCTTTCCATCCAAGCAATTATTTCTGAGAACAGAATGTTCATTCATCACGGAAAGAATTGAGGCAAAGTCAATTTATACCACACATTTGCTTAGTTACATGACACAACCATTTGCTGTTTGGTTTTACAAGTTAAGCACTACATATAATCCAACAAGTGGTGAAGGTTTTTTGATCAGCCTATGTAATCTATAACAATCTTAAGTTTTCTGCAATAATATCAGGTTATTGTTATAAGAAATTATGTCAGAATTGGTATAAATGCCCAATAATAATTTTTCAAATATATTTGACGGTGTTCTACAGAAGAGAATTTTTTGTCATGCCAGGATAAGTCAGCAATTTTTGCAAATGAGTGTAATTAAATGAGAACAATTTTCCTGTCTGTCCTGAAGAGAGTATTCATAACCTGGAATTCTATGTGCTTCAATGTAACAACATGCTTGGCTATGATAAATTCCCTGAGGGTGGGACAATGAAGTTGAAATTGAAATGATAAGCAATAAAAGAGTTCTTAAAGAGTTCACATGCATGAAACCAAATTTACAAAGAGAAGACCACAAACTAAAGCTCTTCAAAATATATTCAAACTTGCAGAACTACCTCTCCCTGGGGAGAATCCAAGATGATATTAAGCTTCTGTAGGTGAACCTACGTTAGTTTCCCCACAGAAATAAAAAAATATCATTACCATTTAGTAAATATTTAAATATTTAGACAAATATAGCCACAATTGTATTCTTCAATAACTGTCTAAAAAGTTTTGGGTTGGTAGGTTTTCTCTTGTTCATTGAAGCTAAAATGTTTGCTTGAAAGAGCATTTTAGAGTTCAAGGAGGATTGACCTTTGCCACAGTTAAAACCAGTTTGTTTAATACAGTTCCTGTTACTGCAAAAAATATACCAGTATGATAAAGTCACTGGTTATGGAATAAAAGTGTATTGGGTTTAAGTCTCACATTTCATTAAGCTACGTAACATTTGCATGTTGACAATCAGGACAACACACAGTAAGTTACAATTAAGATCTCCACTTAGGTAAAGAAAGCAAACCATTTGTGAGGTGAATTAATTTCACCTGATCTCACCAATTACTACCTTGCATTCTTCCAGTACAGAACATTAATGCAAAATATGAATGACTGAGCAGACTTTTGAAAAAACAGTTAAACCAAAATGTAACTCCCAGAATTGATTATGAGGGCATTAAATGTTGAGATTAGATTAGCCACTTTGCCAAAACCAGTATATCACTGCCGTGGTAAATTACATAGAGCAGAATAAGCATTCCAGGAAGTTCTAATTACCTTAATGATGAACTTTTATGTAATCATATTTCTGATTCAAATGGATCTGCCTTCACATTCCAGTGCTCTGAATTCTGCCTCATGTTAGTATGTATGGAAACTACAAAGACATCACATTGCAACAATCTGCTGGAAGAAAATGAAACAAATTGTTTAGTCTCTCACTGCAAAACACACTCCTCAGACTTATAATGGTAATCTGAACTCTTCCCACCTTGTTACCATCTGTGCTAAAATGAGTGGATGCCAGAACTGGACATGGAGTGCTCATTTAATGCTTTATTCAGTAGTAAGGATCCTGTTCTTTCTTGATGCTTTTTGGCTCTTGCATTCATTTTCAAGGCTGCATCCAAGACCTCTGTGAGGGTGGGTGGGCTGG